AGAAAGATAAAGAATGCTTACCTGTGAGAAACTGCAGCATGTCGAGAGCTGATGCCGAACCTTTGAGAAGCTTGGGGAATTTGGCGGTGTATCTGACAATGTTCTAGCGAAAGATTCATTCTCAATTTTTGCATATACACTAAGCGGTGGAGCAGGCTCGGGGTTTGGGGCGCTGTTTCTCGTTTTTCATTGCTTGGGGGTCGTCGCCACCATCCTCGTCCTCTTTTCTATCAACTTGAGGTTGTTCGTGGTTGGCCACAATGATCCGCACCATCCCACTGATTGTCACTAACTCAGGTGGTCATCGTTAGTCCGTCGGTGGTCTCCTTCCTGATCGTAGTGGCTCGACTTTGCTGTAGTCGATAGAGTGATATGAACCCGGCTAAAAGCCTGACCAGATGTGTAGAAGATAAAGAAGGATAATGGGGCAGTATATAGGAAAGAGAGGGAGCAGCGAAGGCAAGATGAGAGGAGAGGCCGAGAAAGGGAATAAAAGTAGAGACCAATAAGGTACGGTAAAAAGATTGAAGTATAGGTTATTTGATCGAAAACAAGACCATGTGTACTACAGAAAGTAGGAAGTGGACTATGATGCTTGGGTTATTACTGTGAAGCAGCAAGGGGGAGGGGGAAGACAGGATACTTACTTTGAGGATGGTTGTTAGCGCTCGCAGATCAGGACATGTTCTGGCCTACCCAGTTTAGAGTGCACTTTGTATCAGCGTACTAGTGTCAGATCTAAATCGCTGCTACATGCGATGCTGCAAGGCACGATCGACCGTTGATACTTTCGACAGAGGTTGCTGCCGACCTTTTCAATTTAGATTCGCAAAGGCTACACAAGTGGTTAACAGGGACCCCCACTTTTCGGCCGTCATTCTGCACTAAGTTGCTGGTGCAGCCAGGGCATGCTGCCGAGACGGCGAGACAACCATTGTCGCTGACTGTGCACTGCTGAGTCTGCCGTATCTCACAGGGCCTCGTTGATGTTGAGGCCGTGCCTTGTTACAAAACGTTGTGATTTTGTTGGGGTCCATTGCTCTAGTGAAGCTCGTTACTATTACACATGATTACTGTGTTCTATCGCGCCTGTTGAGTCTACATGGTTGTGTTTTTGGCTGAACGCGCTGCGGTACCTGCGACACACAGACACTGTGTATTGTTATATCTGCATACTATGTTACGACTGTGCCCCCGCTGTTACCCTTGAGAAGATTGCTGCCACAAACTTGTGAGTTGCTGTTGCTAGGCTGCAGCGTGGCTATTGCCTGGTGGTAGAATGAGTGATTGGGAATTGTTACTACTAGTGAAGTAGGGAGCAGCCTGTTATAGTGATTCTTGTTGTTCTTTGACGTGGTCGCCAGTTTTCGGTACTTAGGGCGGATGCTGGTAGGCACAGATTGTTGTTCCTATTAAGTTGGGGAGCGGTTGTCGAGTTTCCTTGGCTGCCGGTTCTCAGATTGTTGTGGCCGACATAGTTGGCTCTTGAAAAGATGTCGCCACGTGCGATGTACCTTACCGAGCACCCCCCCTGTCTTGCCGTGCCTTGCTGCTGTGCATTACTATGCCCTTGTTGAACAGCTGAGGTGCCGTATCGCTGTGCACCCCGTGTGCTGCTGCTATGCAGGGCGCTGTTCCTCGCTGTGCACTGTTGCTGAGCGCCGCTATTGCTCCTCTTTACGACGGGGTCGCTGCAGCGAGTTAGAGTTCTGTTGGGAACTGTTACTTGGAGTTCTGGTCGTGATCGAGTTATTTCTACTGCGGTTTATTGACCATCATTGCGGGGCCCTCCGGAAATTCAAGATAACAAGGCCCTCTCAATGTGAGTTTAGTTGTCCCTCTCTCAGATCTCGAGAGTCTCACCTATCTCCTTATATCCTTCTCAGTCTATGTCCATCCTGAGGTTACGAGAGGAAGGCGGCAGGCGGGATTGCAACCCGTAGGACCGCAGCAAGACTGTTACATGCCTAGTTGGGCGATGTACATAGAAACCGAGGATCCACAATGTGATAAAAAGGACTGAATGGACAATGCAGTGCAGGTCGAATCTCAACAAGCAATGTGCATTCGAATACATACAAAAAGGTGCTAAATAGCGCAGGGAAGACTTAGATACAAAGCCTGACCTGACCGAGACTGACCTCATTCACATTGTATCAGATAGCGAAGCAGAATGCTGGAATGCTAATGACTAGCCAAATCAACGTTTGAACACAGACCAAACATACATCGTATCCATCACAAGGTGTGAAGGAGTCTGGCGCTGTACACAGGAAGAAAGCGCCAGGTCCAGACATACACATATGAAGAGGAGGGAATCAAACGAAAGGAGGGAGAGAGATGGGGATGTCGTCAACACCAAGTCTTTGTCACAAGTCCCAAATAATCCCTCATTGCAATATCTGAAGTCCAAAAGTCGAGTCTGGATCCGATGTCACCAAACTCTTTCTCTCTTCTCTCGTAGTCTGCAGATGCAGTGGAATCAGATGATGAGAGGGGGAAAAGGAGATGGTGGACTAAGAAGAGGAAGAAGAAGAACTCTCTCTCTCTGTTACGAGCCAGATACTAACCTGTGATGTTGGCGCTGTGCTGCAGGTACCTCGAAGACGAAGCTGGAGCAACGGCGCTGCAGGTAAGTACCTCAGGCCTCCACCCAATCTCTCCCTCTCTCTAGTGCTATCCTAGCTATGGCGCCCAGCGCTGGAGACGACAGCTACCTACTGCGCCCAGCGCTGAAGACTGAAAGCTAATGCTACTACTACTCCTGCAGCGCTCCCTCCAGAGTGCTGCTGCCGAATCCTGAAGACTACTGACTGCCTCCTGCCTGCCCGTGAAGTGCATGGGAAGTCCCTATGTACTACCTCGGCCTGCCTCCTGACTGCCTGAAGGGCGAGCCAGGCCGAGGAGGCTGCTCTTGCCAATGCCGAAGTGTGCCAGGGGCTGGCGCTGCAGCGACTGCTGAGGCTGGCGTGGGGAACAGGCTAAGAATAGCCTGTTCTCGAAACCCTGGTTCGGTGCCTGAGTTTCAGGGCCGGTCGTTCTGATGAACGATCGAAAATGGCCCTTCGTTTCACGCTAAAAAGGTTGTTGCCATTTTTTGTCTTAAACGAGATGGGGATTGTAGGCCCCTGTTTTCAGGCTTTCGGGCTGAACAGTCACGGGGCCTGTAGGCCCTGGTTTTCGGGCTTTAAGCCTTAATTTCAGGTTTTCAGCCTGAGAGACGCAGGGACTGGAAAATGACCCTCGTGTGCAGGCGCAACATGTAACACCCCCCCCTCCTTATGAAGTCAAGACGGGGCGAGGGCTAAGCCGACGATCTGAAGGTGGAACTTGGATGCGGGCGCGGCGTGGAGCCGAAGAAACCGGCTTGCCTTGCATCTTGCGTTCGTAGCGTGCGAGAACGTCTGGAGCTGTTGCTTGAAGTTCCGCACGGGTCAACCAACGGTCAACTCGGTGTGTGCAGTATGCAAAATGCACTAAATACTCGGTTGGCCTGTTACCGTAGCGTTGGGAGATGATGTCGCCGACCTCCTGAAAACCATCCATGAAGGGTGGGTCTTGCGAACGTCTCCTGGAAAAATCGTAATTGTGAAGGAAGGTCCCTCTGGTGCGTCTCCAGCAGGTGCTACGATCGGCCAAGGCCCCATCCATTTCGGGAGGAGCTTGCGAGAGATGTCTTGTTCAAGGCTGAATTCCGCTGCGGAAACCCAAACGAGGTCGCCGGCGCGGAATGGGCAAGGAAGATGCTGGTGATTGGCCTGCTGGCTCATGCGCTGCTGCGTCTTAGCCATATGGTCGCGTGCCTTGACAAGAAGCTCTTGCATCCGACGTACAAAAAGAAGATGGTCGTCACTCTCAGTCGTTCGTGGAGTGATCGTGTCCAACGGTGAAGTGACCGGCGAGCCGTGCTCGAATTCGAAGGGCGACATTCCGATAGTCGGGTCGACAGAGGAGTTGTCGGCCAACTCGACATCCGGCAGCCACTCAACCCAGTCCTTTTGGTCGGGGCGGATGTGAGTGCTAAGGAGAACATGTGCGGTCTGATGCGCCCTCTCAGTCTGGCCATCGGTCTGAGGGTGGTGAGTTGAACTGGGCTTGAGAGATGAGCCCCATCCCTTGATGAGCGCCAACCAAAAATCGGACATGAACCGAGTGTCGCGGTCGCAGACGATTTCCTTGGTGTAACCCTTGGTTCGAATCCAACCGGCGTAGAGAACCTCGACCAATTCCGGTGCCTTGGCATGATAGCGACAAGGCAAAAACATGGCAAACTTGGTGAGTCAGTCGACCACCGTGAGACTCCCATCCACTCCGGTCTTGTGCTTGGGGAACGGGTCGGTAATGTCCATAGCAATCGCTTCCCTTCGCCTCAATGGGACAGGTAATAGTTGTAACTCGCCGTACGGATGATGGTTGAGAGATTTGCAGCGGCAAACATCGCATGACTCGCAATAGCGCGTGACGTCGCCAAGAAGGCCGGGCCACCAAAATCACCGGCGAAGTCGACCAATCGTGCGATTGACTCGAAAGTGTCCGGTGGTGGGAGCATCGTGGAACTCACCAAGAAGCCGTGTACGTAAGTGAGGATCACTCGGTACGCAAAGAAGGTCCTTCCCCCGTTTGTGGACGAGCAAGTACCCCTCTTGGATCCGGTAGTGAAAAGGTACCGGGTTAGGAGAGGAGCAATTCGCGTACTTGTCCTGCCGCGGATGAAGCTGTTCCGCAGGTCATCGTCTATCTCGAAAGGTTGAGTAGACCACGGTACAGTGATCCGGACGCCGTGAAAAAACATCCACAAAAAGGTTCGACTTTCCGGGAATGTGATCGGGAAAGAAGTCGAACTGGTCGATGAAAGCCATCCATCGAGCGATGGTGCTGTTGACGGTGTCTTGGGTCTTATAGAAGACCAACGGATTGTTGTCCGTTACCCATCGAAATTGGCTTCGACCAAGGAGGACGTGCCGCCACCGCTTGAGCGCGTGGATGAAGGCGAGGAGCTCCTTCTTGCGTGCATCGTCAGTGGAATGCAGGATGGGCACTTTCTTGCTGAAATACTCGACCGGGTGTCAGTCCACACCATCATGTTGCTCAAGGACTGCACCAATGCCATAGTCTGACGCATCAGTAGTGACGTTCGTAGGCAAAAGCGGGTCGTATATCTGCAAGACCTCCGTAGATAATAGTGCGACTTTGAGAGTCAAGAAAGATCCCCGCACCTCCTCTCCGAAGTCAAACGGCCGATCCTCGCATTGAAGCTTGTTCAAGTGGGCCGCGATCTTCGAGTAGCCTATGATAAAACACTGGTAGTAACCGGCAAGGCCAAGGAACGAATGGATATCCGTGACGTTCCGAGGCTCCGGCCACTCCTGGATGGTTTGAATCTTGTTCGATAGCGGATTGATGCCCTCCGATGTGACAAAATGGTCCAAGTATTCCAACTCTTGCCGGACAAATTCGCACTTGTCGCGGTTGGCTTTGTACTTGGCGCGGCACAGCGTCTCCAACACTCGTCGAAGATGCCCAAGATGATCCTCCAATGACCGGCTGTAGACGAGAATATTATCTAAGTAGACCAGCACGAACCGGTCCAACATTGCACAAAACTCATTGGCCATTGCCGCTTGAAAGGTCGTCGGGGCGTTGGTGAGGCCAAAATGCATGACCACCCACTTAAAATGCCCGTACCGCGTCTTGAACGCGGACTTGTAGCGATCGTTCGGCCGGATCGAGCTTTGATGATATCCCGATTTCAAATCCAACTTAGAAAAAACGGAGAAGAAACTGCACACACGTCTTGTCCTTGAGCTTGAGTACCCAGCGTAGGAACGAGCCGGGCAGCGTAGTCTCCAAAAGAAAGTGGAAGAGGAGGATTATCGACTTCCACATGCGCCTCAAAATGAATGCCGGTTACTCGCGAAGAAACCGGTTCCGGATGCATGAAGAGTGTTGTCGAGTCACTCTCGGCGGTGCTCAGTTTCCTTGTTTGCCCTTGCCTTTCAATGGGCAGACCAGTGTTTGATGAAGATCACTCTTGCACCAAAGGCAATAGTGGAATCTCTCGCACGCTTTGAATGCTTGCTCGGAGATGCCATATTGGAACCATGGGGCTGCTGGAGCTGCTGCACCGGACCCTGGGCTAGATGCGGTGTGTGTCTTCGTCTTGCCGCGTCCTCGGCCTCTGCCAGGGAGGCCACCTTCCCGGGCGGCTGCGAGTCTGTCCCCTTCACTGGCAGACACAACCTCGCTGGTTTGGTCAAACGACGTTGCCGCTGTGACCACGACCACTCTTGGCCAATGCTGGTCCCTGCTCGGGCCTGACGCAGACGAACGAAGGTTCTTAGCCTCCTTGTTCGTAATGATGATCTCCGCGGCCTTGTCAAAACGTTCCGCCGTCGTCGTCAAGGTGTCCTCGACGTGAGCCAGGGCATTACTTAATGTCGGACAGGATCTTGAGATGAAGTAGTGTCGAATGGCTTTGAGGCCCATCTGGATGTCTGGGACTTACGTCAAGCGTTGGTACTCGGCGATCCAGTCAGTACTCGGCAGCGTGCCTTGTTCGAAGACCATGAACTTGTCCATACCCTTGATCTCCGGCGGCTCAACCACGAACCGCTTGTGCCACGTCGCCTTCAGATCATCCCAACTGATCTTGGTGTGCAAGTCGGCAGCTACCACTCCGTACTTGGACAAGAGGTTGTCCAACCAAGCCTGGCACTCGCCCCCTGAGTGAGAGTACAAGTATGTGTGGTGCTTGTGTTCTTTGACGTTGTGTAGCTGCAGTGTGAGCTCGAATTGCGGAACCATGGAATCGGATCTGTCTTCGTGGAGTCGCAGAAGATCTCCTGCCCGTCAAACTTTGGAGTTGTCTCGCGCGGCTCTGAACTCGAGGTATTGGCGGTGGTACAAATTTGTTGCTGCAACTATTGCGTTGCGGTCTGCTGTAACTGTGCGTTGTCCTTGAGGGAGCCGACGTCCATCTCCAATGCTTCGAGGCGATCGGAGGTATTGTAAGAGCTTGCATTAGCGGCAGCAAATAGTCACTGCTCCAGCTGCTGAAGGCGGCCTTGGACTTGAGCTAGCGAGTCGTCGAGGCTGTGGATATCCTCCTGCTGTGTAATGCAGGTTGCCAAGAGGTCTGTGAGATGCGAGAGGAGGAGAGCGATCTTGTTTTCTCAATCCTCCAACTTGCCATTCTCCGCCTCGGTCCGCCATGCCGCTGCCGTTGTGAGCAAAGTCTGCTCTCTGCTAAATATCTTCTCACGATGTTGGTTTCTTTCTTTATCGACAGCCCTTGCTGCTGCCTCGTCATGCTGGCGTTGTTGTTCAAGTGCCAGCAGACGTGCCTGCTCGACATCCTTTGCCTTCTTCTTCACTGCTGTTGCTGCGTCATCTGCCCGCTTCTTTGTTTCGGTACTCCAAGCTAGCATCCGGGCCTGATAGGCCTCGTCTGCTTCTCCGGACCTCTGGTCCATGATGGCTGTATGTGACCGCAACAACATAGACCAATCCGGGGGCCAGCTGACGTGGTATTTCCTGCTCTATCGGCTGACGTGTCCTGCTGACGTGTCCTGCTGACGTGGTCTGCTGGCGTGTCCTGCTGACGTAGTCTGCTGATGTGGCCTGCTGACGTGGCAACTCACCAATGCCGTCGCAGGCACACGTGGTTAACCAGGGGTGTTATTTTCGACGAATTTTGCACCGAATTGCACTGAAACTGTCATATTGTGCTGATTTTTGCTTTTTTTTCTTTCTTTCTTTTTGTGTGATATACATGTGCTTTAGGGTACGTCATTTGTGCAGTTTTTACATGTTTGGATCAATAATGAAAAATTGAGCATTTTGTTGGATTCGTTGGACGCTTCATTTTGACTCAGACAGTGTTTTTGTGTTAGGGTTTCATAGTGTTTTCTTTTTTTTTTTTCCGTTTTTTTTTTGCTTGTTTTCTTTTTTGATGTTTGCATTATGGTCTCATATCGTTTGTTTTTAAAATTTTTGATGAAATTCGTATTGCAATTGCCAACGAAAACGGCGAATATTTGGGCCTCCGTTAACCGTCTCTCGGCTAAGGAGATACAGACAAGAAAAGTAGTACTAAAGCAAAGTTCACTTGAGTCAGTGTACATTAGCTAAAAATAAATAGAATCTCTCAACGAAATAGTCAGTCACGCGTCTATCCCTCCCCAACTCTTCGATAATTTATGAGAGTCAATTAGAGTCGCTAACCTCTTAGCAACTTAAGTTGACAAACGCGCCTACATAGACAAATGACCAGAGTACGCGAATAGAAGGAAGGATCCAACATACGCAGATACCTCCCTCAAATCGTTAACCTAACTTATACCAACTATGTAAGAGTATTACATTCACTAGTTGTTTCTTTGACATAGACTTCTAACTATCATATAACCTAGTCCGTTCTTTAAGAATGTTCGTAGGCAGTTGAAGTCCCGGACAATGCGAGTTCCACCAATACTATCAGAACGACTCCAAATATAACTTTTTAATATGTAACGAATGGACACTTCAACTCATATATCATAAGCTATACAAGCTTGTTTAAAGGTTGTTGTTTTGCCGTGATCATCGTCTTACCAAACCCGAGTTCGTTCTCTGAGGACCTCGGCTAGAAAGCAAGATCCCCGACAACGGTGCCACCTGTCGCGCGTGGCGGTCCCGCGCCCTGCTGGGGAGCGCTGAACCTCACGGTCGTGTCACGCAGGATTTATTCTTGAAAGAACAACAAGTCACCACTCCGACCGTGCGCGCGTGCTATACCTCTCACGACGCCCTGCGACAGGTCGGGACGTCGCAAGGTACAACTCACCTCTACCCAAGGGGTTGTCACCACCCTCTGTTAGGCGTATCCCTGCTGAGCTACCGGCCCACATGCGAAGGCTACATGCCTTTGTAGAGGTAGGTCGGCCGATGACGTTTTCTTGATCGCCGTAGCATAGGTATACGCGCCTAAGACTGACCCGTTTACGTATCGGGCATCGGGGTGCTGATCTCCCGGACCGACTTACGATTCAGGTCGACTCGACTGACGATCTTTCGCACATGGTAAACCCTATTCTATCTGAACTCATCCCGTAAAATATATATGTTATATAAGTTCTTCCAAAATTAATACATTACATAATGAATACAGTTCCAAGGTTGAGATTGGAAAGGCAAGGAAATGTCTTTTACATTTTTACACAAACAGAGGCAAACACCAGAATGAACGGAGCTTGACTTTTGAAAGAGAAACAATCAATAGGCTTTTGGCCTTTCAAGCAAACATCACAAACAAAAATAGGCTCATGGCCTATCAAATATGCACCAGAAAAATATAGGCTCATGCCTTTTCAAAGAAAAATTATATGAATAAGGCTCTCGGCCTTTGCCAATTGTCCTAATCTATTCAACATCAAAGGGGTAAAAGTCGGAAACCCAAACCAAACGTACAAAGGTTACGAGTCGACGAAATGTCTGAGTCGAGGCTCATGTAACCATAAGCAATGCGAGTTGAGTGAACAGCATGTGGTTGGTCGTCTTACTAACCTGGAAATAAGTGTCAATGACATTACACAATCCTAGCAGAGTCAACCATTCGTTGACTTTCACACACATTACACTTACGCGTTCAAACCCCTTTGCCAGACATTCTCTTTTCGACTCAGTTATTCAAGGACCTCTTTGATCTAACTTAGACCCTTCAGATGCTGACTCGATAATCAGAAAATGTCATTTAGTGCAAAGGTAGATGCAAAGTGTGGGTGTAGAGGGTGAGTAAAGGTTGAGTTGGTAAACCAACCTGTTACCATAAGGCAACAACATGTAGTCTCGTACAGACTCATAATGAGTCTTCTTGATTAAGATGACCTGCAATCACACGCAGGTCAACAAGGTCTCAACACCTCCCTCACTATCGCCCTATACGAAGTTCATCGATGTGAACTTCAATTCTATCGGTGGACTATAACATAGTCGGATAAAATATAAGTATGAAGTAAGAAGACTCCGACAGATGCCTTCACCTCATACTTACTCAAGCAGTAGGATAACTCAGACATGAGTATCCTACCACTGGTTTTAATCTAACTGGTTTAGACTTAGACAGACCATGAGATAACCTACATAGGGGCACCCCACTTATAGTCTGTCAACCTAGCTATCTAAGATATGTATATACGTAGAGGCGAGTAATAGGATGTTTCTCACACTGGAGCCTTATCCTATCACCCGTCCTACATCCATACATCAATCAACTATTAAGCAGTAGAGATTGAGTAAAAACAAGGGTGTATATAATGAGAGTGAGAAATGATTTTGTTTGTTTTCTTATTTAATATTTCTCTTTCTCATTCTCCTCATCTTTTTCCCCTTTTCTCCTTGTTCATTTCCCTTTTCTGTTTCCTTCCTTCTTTTCTTCTCTCTGCCCTTTTCATTTCATCTTCCATTGTCCTCCTGTCTAGATAACCCTACATGCACTAAGACTTGCTCTAAGCCAGCGTGCACGAAATCGACCATGGCTCTAGCTAGGAACGGGTTTCGCATGCACAGCAATCAGGTGAGAATAAATGGCATGGACGTAATAACCACCTCAAGGAATAATAATAATAATGATGATAATAATAATAATAATAATAATAATAATAATAATAATAATAATAATAATAATAATAATACAAGGAATATGAGTG